TGGAGGGCGTGAAGGGAGGGCTAGGAATGGGGAAAAAATAAGAACCAAGATGCATCATGTAAAGGTACAATTCCCAATGAGAAATGTAATTGTGTTGTATGCCTACAATGTACCAATAAAAGAATTAAAAAAAACAAAACAAGATTAGGCCTTAATGCTATTTCTTTAGGCCATAAAAATTGTCCTCCCTTCTCCTAGGAATTCTTTCATTTAAATAATGCAAAAATATATAGTCACACTATAGTATATTAATACAACATCTATTTCTATTCACTGAATGCATATTTATTGAGCAATGATAACTAACTTTTATTAAATACTTATTATATTCTAGGCATTGATCTAAACATTTCATTCACATTGCCACATTTAATCTTTAGAATGATATGAAGTAAATGATATTTTTATTGATATTTATGGATAAGCACACAAGGCACAGACAGTTTATGTAACTTGCCCAAGGTCACTTAGAAAATGGCAGAAATAGAATTCAAACTCAGGAAGAATGCTTCTTGATCCTACTCTCTAACCTCCCACTGTACACGACTTTTCAACTAAATTTCTGGCTGTGAACTAGGCCACAAGATGACAAAGAAGAGAAAGCAAAGCCTGTAAATAGACTTGTCGTCTCTGTCCTCTGACCCAAGTCCCCCAAAATGCAGTGTTATGTTGATATCTCAGTGATATCCCAGAGGCCCAGAAAAAAAAAATTCCTCCATAAAGGGTTAATATTGAATTACTACAGAATTACTTGGGTAAATGATGTCAATTAAATACAAAATGTCAAAACAAAACAAAACAAAACATTCCAGTACACAGAGCAGTAACTATTATTATTCTCTGATTTGTTGTGAAATCTAGTTTTATTTTTTCATAGAAGTAAGAAGTATGCTTTTTATATTTTCTTTATTAATTCTACTTGTGCTACATTACATTAAAATAAAAACACACTTAGGAGGAGTGGGAATGACTTAATGTCACGAGATGTTTCTCTGCTCCCTTGTGCAACTGTTGCAAACGGCCCGATTTCGGACTCAGGAAGCCTTCCTCAACCATGCCTGTCGAGACAGTGGACTCTCAGGCTTGGAAAGTGAGGAGAGTTGCAGATTTAAGAATGTATTGCATTCATGCTGAGGAACAGGATACAGGATGTTAACTAATCTATCTTTTCTCTCACCTCTAGGTCACTCAAATCCTCCCTGAGCCTTGAAACAGAGTCCCTCTCCTCCATCAGCTATGCATTGTTGAAACTCTAACCACGGGCCGAGGATTTAGCTCAGTGGTTCCACCACCTGCCTCGCAAGCACAAGGTCCCAAGTTCAATCCCCAGTACCAAAAAACAAAACACCTCTAACCACGGGTCCTAAAAAGAATTAAGATGTGTTGTGGGCATGTACCAACTCCCCATGATGGATGTAACCATCAGGTACTGCATCACTGGCATCCCTGCAACGCCTCCGGACACTTGGTGGCCTGGGATGTGAGGAGAGAGTGCTGATGTAAGGAGCTGTTTCCTTGGGCATGAGCGGCGTGGGTGTGAAGGATGTGTAGGGCTGTGGATCGCTTGGTCCTAGAACCAGACACCGGATCCCAAGGGACTCATGCGCTTAGGTGTCACTTAATAAATTCTGCGTGTGTGCTACGGGGCTCTGAATTCCTGGGCTCTGAGCAGGAGCCTCGGTGGTCCAGGTCTCATGGGGTTGCTGTCCCCACACAATGCCAGCTTCTCCTTGAAACGTACAGCACCTGGAATCTGTCCCCACCACCATCTCACCTGGTCCCTTGCAGCAGCCACCCCGGGCCTCCCAGGTAGAGACCTGACCCTGACACTTGCTTCTTCCCGCTGCAGTCAGAGAGCTTTCCAAAGAGCAACATGACCCCGCACACTTCAACTTCGTCGTGTCTCTGCAGCACCTCTGTGACCTACAAAGGACTAGGTCTGCCTTCTAGGATGCCACTGGGCTCCTGCTGCTTCTGCAAGGTCTTCTCTGGACCCTCCGACCCTATTGCAGCTCCAGCTGCACAAGGACACCTGTGCCTGGGTATGAGGCCTCTCACCTGCTCTCTGCCCTCCTCAGCATCGGCATTTCCCCAAGCTCAAATCAGAGCGAAGCTGAGTCAAAACACAAAGGAAGGAGGGAGGAGAGATGGGGGAGGAGGGGAGAGACAGACAGAGAGAGAGAGAGAGAGAGGAGAGAGAGGGAGGGAGAGAGAGAGAGAGAGAGAGAGAGTTCTGACAACAACATGAAGATTCACTTAGCCATTCCCAAATTGAGACAGAATTCAAGATCATTACTGTTTTGGATTTGTCTTATTTTTCTTTTCCCCATTTGGGAGGGGAACTTTAAAAAATCAGTTTTATGGAATTAGAATAAATAAAAGGAAAAGCACATATTTTAGGTTTCTAGTTCAGCGAGTTCTCACGAGTGCACACCTGTGTGGTGCCCCACAGTGACAACCTGAACACTGCCCGCCCCTCGGGAGGCTCTCCCGGGCCCTCTGCAATCCAGCTGCCACCGTCAGAGTCGGGCTGTTCTAGAACTTCCCGTGAACGGAACCACCCGGACCTGCTCTGCCGTGTCGGCCTCAGTGTTTCTGCAACTGCCCCACGCGGGTGTATGTATTGGTGATTCAGCCCTTCTCACTAAGTCCCACACTTGTATGAGGACACCACAGTTTGTTTCTCCATTTTCCTGTGGATCGGCATTGGAGCCATTTCTAGTTTGGGGCTCCTCTGAATGGTGCTGCTGTGAACATTCATATACAAGCTAGTATGTCATTTTAAAAGTCATTTTGGTCACTCTGATGCTTATCATGACAGGAAAAATTATAATACAAAATGCTATAGACGTGGAGCTGGGCGTGGCAGAGCGTGCCTTTAATCCCAGCACTCAGAAGGCTGAGGTGGGAGGATCACAATGAGTTAGAGGCCTGCCTTGGCTACCAAGTGAGTTCAAGGCCAGCCTGAAATATGTAGTGAAATGCTGTCTCAAAAACTAAAAACAAAACAAAACAAAACAAAAACTATAGCTATAAAGGGCATCACTATATTCACTAGAATATAATAAGTGAATGAAAAGCTATGCATCATTAAACTCTAACCACAAGTCATAGAAAGAATTAAGATGTGTTATGGCCATGTACCAACTCCCCGTGAAGAATGTAACTGTCAGGTACTGCAAACATGTACTGATAAAAATAAAAATCAGTAAAAATAAAATCCTAACCACAGACTTACATTGAAACATGAGAAATTATTGAACACATATGAAATCAACACAAATAAATTGTAACACTCCATGATAATATTTGTTGACAGTACTTGTTCCTGTGGATAAAGATGTGGCCCCATCACGTAGAAATGCAAATAGGAAATGAAATCATCCCTTCCCCAGGATTCACCGAGTGCTGGCCACTGTCCCAGTCTGAGGATCAATAGATGAGGAGGGGTAGTGCCCTGCTCTGGGGCGGGGGTAGGGCAACTTCACCCATTTCCTGTTTTCCATACTGCGAGATGCTTCCCGATCACACTCACTGGAGCTGACATGGGACTTGGTTGCTCCTTTTAGGAAATGTGCCCGCCTCTAGGGCCAGGCAGGCCCCTGTGAACATTTGTCCCATCACAGTTGTGAGAACACACAGCTGGAATCCAATTCACATTTGCCTTTCATGCTCACCATGACCCCAAACTGCTCCCTCAAAACAACACAGCCCACACCAGCCTGGGAACTATCTGAGGTGCCTTCCAAGTTTAATTTCTGGCTGGGTGACCCTCCAGCCTTGCAGCTCTGTGGACACAAATGGGATAGGAGGAGAGTCAGCCAGGCCAGGGGCCCCTTCTGTTGAAAACTGCGCACCCCCACATGTTCACTAAGAACACACCAGCCCCACACCCACCTGGGCCTTGAATAAGAGGACTCTCCAGGGATTGGGGATTTAGCTCAGTGGCACCATGGCTGCTTCACAAGCACAAGGTCCAGAGTTTGATCCCTGATACCAAAAAAAAACAAAACAGAGGACTCCAGGTCAGAAATGGTGTCAGACCTGGGCGGGGGGGCTGGCTCTGGGGAAGGATTTGTGCAAGGGATTTCCCAAGTGCTGGCTAGGTTGTGTCACAGCCCCAAGCAGACCTTTGCCAGCTCCATTGCCCCACCCATGGCTCCCTATAAAGTTCCCTGCGCCCTGCAGCCACCTGCTCTCCCTGGCTTTGGGCACCTCCTGCTCTCGCCATGGCACTGCACTGGGCCCTCGAAGCCCTGTGCGTCCTGCCACTGCTGAACCCCCAGAACCCAGCATGTGCCAATGTCACAGCCATGCCCATCACCAGTGCCACCCTGGACTGGGTGAGTGCCGAGTGCTGCGGGCCTCCACCTTCCTCTCTGAGCTTTTCTTCTGCTGGCTCGGAGCCCCTGCTCCTGGCTCTGTCCCTTCTCTTTTCGGGGATGGGTGACTTTCTGACCATGCCAGGGGACTCTGGTGGCCTCCTCCTGCCTTCAAACTCAGAAGCACCACAACACAGACCCTCCACGGGTGTTCTGTGGTGGGCATGAAGGGGCCCCAGGGGGCCATTGGGGCCTGGGGTGAGCTCGGCCTGGAGTGAGACTCATGCCTCAGTCTCCCTCTTTGCTGAGGCAAGGGAAGGAAGGAGGGATCACCTGAGGCTTCTCAGCTCTGAGCCCTGACATGTGCCACCGCCCCAGCTCACTCGCAGGTGGTTTTTCGTTGCCTCCGCCTTTCGGAACCCCGAGTACAAACAGGGGGCTCAAGAGATCCAGACAGCATTCTTCTACCTTGACACTCACCCCAAGGAGGACAAATTATGGGTCCGGGAGTACATGACAATGTGAGTCCCTCTAGAGCCTGAAGTCTGCGTGCCCCACCTGGGAGGGGACAGTGGACTTGCTCTCATCTCTCCCCCCTTGCCCTGCCCCAGCTGAGTGACTGTCACGCCCTGTCTTTCTGGTTTTCACGCCTCCTCCTGACTGGCTCCAGTGGGGACCGGTGCATCCAGAACTCCACCATCCTGAGTGTCCAGAGGGAGAACGGAACCTTGTCCAGGATGGGTGAGGCCCGGCTCTCCGGCGGCGGGACGGTCTGCAAGGGGCTGGGGCCCAGGAGCTGGAGGCTTTGGGTACAGAGAACATGGGCAGACCTACTCCCGATTCCCTGATCCCGGGCCTGCAAATGACCCGCAACATGTCGCAGCCTTTACTGTGTGCCAGGCACTGTTTGAAGCGCTCTCCACAAACCAACCTGCCTCCTACGTGCAAACACTTCTACGAGGCATTACAAGGATCAGATGAGTAAACGGAGCACAGATGCTGAGCAGTTTTCCTGAGGTCACACAGCTTGTCATTAGAACCAGAATTCAGAGCAAATCTGGCTCCAGCTCTGGTGCTCTCTGCCACCCTTTAAGATGCTCTGGAAGCTAAGGGTGGGAAGCCCATGCATTGGGCAGGTGGTGACTTCATCCCCAGCTGACCCGAAAGCATGGATGGGGCTGACTGACACCACTCAGCAACCCAGCCACCACTCAGCGGGCCTCCTCGCTCTCCTCCGTGAAATGGGGACAGCGGCCATCCGAGGCGCACACCATCGGTGTCCCTCCATGCTCAGTGCGGGGCCTGGTAGCCCAGTGAGCCCGGCCAGAGGGATGGGGCTGCGGGGCCCTCGCGTCGTCTCACCAGGGCCCTTTCTTCCACAGAGGGGAACAAGGAGCACTTCGCCCATCTGCTGCTGCTGCGGGATCCCCGGAGCTTCATGCTGGCCTTCTTCCTGGAGGACGAGCACAAGCGGGGACTGTCCTTCTATGGTAGGTGCTGGCCTTCCGCCCCCGCCCCACCCT